GTTGCTATTGACTTAGAGTTTAGAACATTACGTGGAGTAAATAAATGGATACTCACGTACATAAGTTTAAATTTTTTTATCTTGGCTAATACTTAGTATTGTTGATTTGTCTGTAAGTCAGTTGCAGGTTAATTAATTAAAAAAAAAATTTTTTGGAAAAAATTTTTTGAGATAAGGGGGATGTTGTGTAGCAATTAAATTTAATAACGTTAAAAACTTAGCAATATAATTCTTAAATATTAAGTCGTAGAAATATTATTATTTATTCAGCGCCATCTATCATCATGCATATAAATTATTCAATATCGAAATCCACTTTGAAAAGCAAAGGACAAGTACAATATATGTGTGAACCTAGTAGTTGCATTTGGAATGTAAGTTAGAGGGAGCTAGTGTGTAATTTTTTGAATGAGATGCGGAAATGGATGTGACGTCACATTAATGTTCTGGAAACATTGAAAGGCGGAGTCAGCAAAACCGGTCCGTGTGCTTCCTCATACCAAATATGGTAATATGAGAGAAATTTGCAATGACGCTGTCACGTGTTGTAGTAGCCTATAAATAGCAGTGCACAAACAGATTCGCTCTCTTTTGGCTGATAGAACCTTGAAGACCATACTTAGAAAATAGCATTAAGACTAGCAGTGGTAGTCAGTGCATTATATACTTGTTATTTCTCCCCGGATTAACGGGTAAGTTCAATACATTTGATTCGTTAGGCTGTAGGTCCAGTTAGTTTTTTTTTGAATTATAGAAAAATATGTAATTGGTTCTAGGTCCATTAATTTGGCTAATTAATAACAGTAATAATCACAATTACTTGATCCTGATTGGAATCTCCTTGGAAAAATATATATATGAGCCTGTGAAGCTTTCTTGAGCAAAAAGTGACGGGTTCACGTGATGACAACAAGTCCTGCTTCATCCCTGAGGACATTTGAGTGATCCTGATGCTCCCATGATCTTGCCAAGCTAAGTAAAACTTATAACTTCTTGATATTTAACCAGTGCATACTCCGGAGAACAATTTTTGTTTAACGTGATAAATTCTATTGGTAAACTGTAAAGCCATTATAAGTACATAACAAATTTTTATTGTTAAATTTTTAAAACTTAGTATTTTATAACTTGTTTAATAATTTGTGTATATAAGAAACTTAAATTGAGTATTACTGTATTAGCACATGATCTTGAATGTTTGAATAGCTTTAAATCAAAAGAAAAATCTTTGAAGAAATATAACTATGTATTTTTAACTTGAATGTGACTAGTATTAAGTTTTAACCATGATGAAATAAGATCTGAATCTTTTTAACAATATAATATCTTGTTCACTGCTGTTTTAGACATTTTCATTTATCTCCCTCAAATCACAGTATCACGGCGCCCTGATTTTAAATTAAATAAGTTTCGAGTCTCATGTACGCCCTGAAATAGTCGGTGGTAACTAAAATTGTTACACTCTCTAATATCAATGTTAATGTCACCAACCAAAATTATATTTTTAAAACTTGAGAGGTAAGATAAAACTGAATCTAAGACAGAATTAAAGTTATCTAAATTTTTGTAAGAAGGAGACCTATAAATGGCAATAATTGCAGTATGTGTGCTTATTTTGAGTAATATTTAGGGTGGAATTCGCATAAACTACCACACCATCGTTTTTTATTAAATTGTTTTTTGTTGAATGACAATGATATCCGGCAATTGGAATTATATTAAATTGAGATAACCAACATTCCGTTAAAATAATAACGTCACAATTTAGGCTTAAACGTTGTAACAACACCTCTAGTCCACAAAAATTACAATTAATACTACGAATATTCTGAGTTATAAAAGATAATCTGTTTGGCATTGATTGAATATATTTGTGGCAGTCTTCAGGTCGGCAACATATAACATTTGATACCTTTAATTCATCTATTTCATTATTAATTGTACTATCCATAATTTATTTTAAAAGAAATCCAATTTTTCAATAATATCATCCGACAAAAGTCCAATATAGCAACAAAACAGTAAGACAAAATATCACACATAATATTAATTCCATTTCGCAATAAATTGTTAAAAAATATGTTATGTTTGTATAGAGTAATTAAAAAAATATAAAAATATAGTAATTCGGAAATAATTATAAAATATTCATGCAATTTAAATAGATATGTGATAGCAGATGTGTGTAAAAGATTAAAACATATTTCATCAAAAAATAAGTTAAAACTAGTCACATTATTTTCTGCTTAATTTTAGAAAAATCTGTTTCACTCTCTACTCTGAAATGAGGAGAATCCTCCTTCTCTCGTAAATATATTCTGCTATAGGAAGTCCAGCAAAATTTTAAATCATTTGTGTTAGCAAAGTCCTTTGCTAAATAAAAAAGTCGCTTGCCTTTTAGGGTCAAGCATTCTGACACAAAGATTGGTTTTTTCGAACCCGCTAAGTGGAAGTGTTCCGTATTAAGTTTATTATCTTTGTTTGTAGAATGCAACTTTTTTACGGATTTTAGAACTTCATCTTTTTTTTATTACCGAAGTTAGTTCCAATATGATTGGCTTTTCAGTCGCTTTAGAATAACCGCGATAAACATCTTTGTTTTCCGATTTTTGTATGTCAACATTGAGTACAGTTCCCAACTTAGCAACCACCTTGGAGATCTCTTCTTTAGACTCATTTGCCAACTTTGGAATATTACGTATCTCAATTTTTGCGGCACCAGCATTTCTTTCCAGCGATTCAATTTTAAACTCTAAGGTCTTAATATAGGATAGGTGATCATCTCTTTCTCTTTTAAAGTCTTGAAGTTGAAGTTGCACCTCGTCGTATTTGCTGGAGAGTAAGTCCATCGATACTGTCAAAGAATCGTTTTGCTGGTTGATGTCACTTAGGGCGGAATGAAGTGATGCGAATTTGGAGTCCTGAGAGGCGACAAAGTTATCAAAAAGGCTCCTCATCTCGGACATTATATCTTTTATATCATCAGGCCGCTTTCTTTTAAGGCGATTAGTATTAATGTTCTCAGGGTCCAAAACAGTACGTTCCGCAGTAGAAGTCTCGCTCAGATTCGAGTCCGATATAGACTTTTTTGGGGGAGTGCGGCGAAGCGACATTTTATTTAAATAGTAAACAAGTTTGCCGCGCAGTAAACTTCCTTCCGTACGCTGGGCGTTAGTAAGCAACGTGTACGCAATAAAAAACTCACAACTTGACGATGCGCAGATTATACGAAGCTTAGCTGCTTGTCGTGTTAAAAAGTGCAAGTGAGTGAGCAATTATTTCGATCGTGCTCTTCCCCCAAGGCGAGGCGGGCGGCAGGGCAGCGCACGAGAACCGGTAACTGCAACACAGCTTCGGGCGTCCTCTTGTTGAAATGTCGCAACTCCTCACTTTTAAGTAACAAATGATTTTAACACTTATAACTGGTTTAAACAAAGTGTAAAGTATGTTAGGGAATTAATTAAATATTAAAGAAATATTAGCAACACGACCAGCTGCGTTGAAATATCAGACGAAAGAGGAATCGAATAAAACTTACAAGTATTAAATGTGCAGTTATTAAATGTGAAATTTGCACTTTTAATTGGGACATTTACTCTTTATTTTTCTTTTTTTTACCATATCTCTTTTATTCAGCCGATTTTTATTTTTAGCCAGTTTCTTTTTGATCTTATGCATACATTTTTATAAACATAATGGGAGCCATTATACCTCTGTCGTTAATATATATATCAAAATAAAAAATAGCGCATTAATGAAAACTAGGCAATAATGCGTTTTCTTATAACATTTCTGCACTGTTTTAGTTTTAGGAAAAATAAAATGTCGTCGTTGTTCTGTTTTGCTGTGATTAATGATAACATTACTACTTAGTTGAGAGAAAGATATTACATATAATGTGATAGTTATAAAACTTGTCTCGCTGCCTGCTGCCTCATAAGTATTGATCGTAGTTAGGATTACGCTCGTTCTCATAAAAGTGGTCTTGTGTTTATAAAAAAACGTAAAATATACACCGACTGCTTGATTTTTTAGACAGATCTAATTTTCTGCAGCAAATATTTGTTGGAGACGTTTTATAGACTTCTGTCACTTTTGCTGAACAGCTGAACGCTACAACGTAATGCGACAATGGTTGACGACCTCCGTGGCCGAATGGTTTGTCGCCGGGTTTCATGGCTGTCGCCGACTCGAGAGGTCCCGGGTTCGAATCCCGGTGGGGGCAGATGTTTGTGTGATGAATTCGAGCATTTGTACTCCAGTCATGGATGCTTAATATGTATTTTCTATAGAAATATACTTATATATGTACAGTATATGTATTCTATCCGTTACCCTAGTATCCCATAACACAAGCTTTACAGTGCTTACTTTGGGGCTAGGCTAATTGGTGTGAGTGTTGGAAATATTTATTTATTATTTATTTACATAAGGGAAGAAAAGGAAATGGCCGAATGACCTAGTTATCTTTAACCTATGTAGCATGCACAAAGTGTGCTTTAATAATAAGATTGATTTATGTTTCTAACAAAGTACCAGTACCAGTCCCAGTAAAGAAAAATATGCATGTAGCGCAGAAATGTTTGTCTCATTAAAAAGTTTATGCCACTACAACGTTGTTCAAATGGACCCTTTTTGTTTTAATCTAAGGATGGAGCGTAATGAACAAGATTCAGTACGCATCGAATTTGCGAATGCCAGTATTTCAATTAAGTTCAATCTTCGATACAATAGAAATGATGTTAACCACATTTTTGTCCGTTTATTTAAATGTGGAATAGAACAAAATAAATAGGTACATTATAAGTATTTTAGCAATAAAAATATTTTGCTCGTTAATTGTCGTAGGTTCCGGAACTTGAGATGTAAAATATTTGAGAGGAATAAGTATTTATATCAGTCTCCCCATCAGTCGACAGGTCATCCATCACGCATAACCGTGTCTTTCAGCAAACTGACAACGAAATCTATAGTCTAATAGGCGCCTATGTTTCGTGCAGGTTCACCGCGCAGGTGCTGGAACAGACATGCTCAGCGCTGGGGGGCCGGCGGGTCGCGGTGCTGCTGGTGTGCGGCGGAGGCACCGCCGCGGCCGCTGTTGTGTCTACCGCTACCCGTGCCGGCGTCCCGGTCCTGCGTACATCGCCCTCGCATCTGCATCTTTCTTACACAATCGCAAACGTGAGTCGACTTTTTGATGTGTAACATCTTTCATCTCGCTTTCCTGCAGTTTGCGGGAGTGATTTAGTGAAATGGGACGGAAATGTGTAGCAGGAAGTCACGAAAGCGCGCGCTATTTGATTTGATTTAAGAACATATTGTTCAAATGGCTTATTCCTTTTGAAATAGGTTTTATTTCTTTTTTACTAATATAAGGTGAGGTTTCAAATGTTACACATCATACGCGACTACTTTAAGGCTCGCTCGTTTTTTTATTTTAAACGGTGAACTTCCTGCCTTTGGTTTGGTCCAAGGTTACACGCTAGCCAAGCATTCGTTAGCGATCACTTACAAAGTAAGCACGGCAACGTAGTTTTCTCGTGGTGCTGGTGGGTGGCGAAGGCAAAGCCGCGGCCGCTTTCGTGTTTGCCACCACCCGCGCTAGAAGTTTTACGTGCATTACCCTCGCATCTGCATCTCAAACATGAACCCATTATTCATTTCAAACGAGGAACTTCCAGCTGGTTCGGATTGACCCATTAATCCAAGATGGATAAACACTAGCTAAGCATTGTTCTGCGACCTAAGTAAGCATTGCTATGCAAGGATTGGTGGAACTGGTATGCTGCGGAGGTACAGCCGCAGCCGCTGTCTTGTCTGTATGCGTGCTTCCTACTCTATTATACAATCGCAAGCATGAGTTGATATTTTATTAGGCCCGGTTTGGATTTGCCCACCAATCCAAAATTAAAGGGTAGCCAAGCGTTTGTCAAAGATCACTTTGCAAAGTAAGCACCGCTAAGCAATATTTGGTGGGGGTTTTGGTACTGCTGATGTACGACGGAAGAATCGCCACAGTCGCTACCGTGTCCGCCGCTACCCGCGTCGGTGTACCGGCCCAGCGTGCATCATCCTCATACCTGCATTTCTCTTACACAATCGCAAACGTGAGTCGATTCTTTTATTTTGAAAGGAGTACTTTCAGCCGTTTCGGAATGGCCCGCAATGTAAAGCTGCATTTTCATGAAGCGCGGCGTTTGCAGAAGATGAACGGAGTGAGTGAAATGGTGCACAAGTGAGGGTCCGAGGATGTGTCTCCTTTCCACCCGTAACATACAACCCTCGGATTTGTTTCTGGCATAAATTCCCTTATCCCTCTCTTGTTTCTATGTTGAAAAATCTCGCTTTGGTAAACCGTTTGCCCAGAGCTGTGCTGACCAAGGCGAGGTAAATGAAACAATTTTCTTGGTTCTTTACAAACACACGCCTCGTTACGTATCCTCGCATATCTCAGGCGGAAACACAACCTAAGGTTCATACATGCTGGCCAAGTTTTGGTAAGCAATCACTTAGAAAGTAAGCATGTGATGTGGCTTGCGTAGGCTTGAAGGGGCTAATTAGAATTGCATCATGAAATAATATTTCGTCTCTCTCTAAATTTAAGAGCTATGCTCTTGTCGGTGCAAACTATGTATCCACCTCCATCTCCCTCTATCCTCCGCCAACTCTTTGAGCCCTTTGTACGACTCAACGCCAACTTTTTCCTTGATTTGCTTTATGTAGGCTATCCTCGGTCTTCCCCTTCCTCTCTTTCCTTCCACTTTTCCCTCAATGATGGTTTTTATGAATTCGTCTTGTCGCACAAGGTGGCCGAACATTCTTCCCCTTCTATTCTATAGTGTGTCGAGCAAAGTTCTCCGTTCTTCCACAATGTCCAATACCCTTTCATTTGTTAGTTTCTCTGTCCAACTAATTCTTTCCATCCTTCGCCAGCACCACATCTCAAATGCTTCCAATATTGCTCTGTCTCTTTGCGTCATAGCCCACGTCTCGCATCCATACAGGGCAATACTCCAACAGTGTGTCTTTATAAATTTCTTCCGAATCTCCTTTGAAATTTTTGATGAAAAGATCTGTTTCATAATTAGGAAATTTTGTTTTGCTAGTGCTATTCTAGCTTTTATGTCTGGTGTGCACCTCGAGTCTGATGTGATAAGGTTTCCCAAATACCTGAATTTATTTACTGTTTCTAATATTGTATTATCTTTTGTTATAGGTCTTGCAAAATCTTGCTATTCCGAATTTAGAGGTTGTCATAATTTTTGTCTTTTTGACATTTATGTTAAGAGAAAATTCTTTAAAAGTACTATCCATGGTCTTCAGGATATCTTCTAAATCCTCCGGTGTCTCTGCCACTGCTGCTATGTCGTCTACATATCGGACAAATTTTATGACTTCCCCGTTGAATTTAACCCCTTTTTTTGAACTTTCTACAATTTTACTTATAGCTCCTTCGATAAAAATGTTAATGATTAGTGGTGAAAGTGAGCATCCCTGTCTCACCCCCTGCCTTATGCCAGCCCTCCCCTTTCATTTCCTATTTCAATTATAGTTTCCTGGTTATTGTAAAGTTCGTATATTATTCTCCTATCCCTGAAGCCAATCCCTTTCAACGCTTCCATCATTTTCTGCCAATCAACCTTATCGAATGCCTTTTACAGATCGATAAATGCTATATTTTTATTTAAATTTAAATCTAATCTTCTGTCTATTATAAGTCTTAATACCAAAATTGCCTCCCTTGTGGCCCTATTATTTCGTGTGTTATTTTAATTTCGAGATTATTTTTGCTGTCGGGATAATAGACACGACACGTCACACATCATAGTATACTTTAATGTATATTTCACGCGGATCGTAAACGTAGTATATCACGTAGACGTATGTTTATATTTTACCTATCTTGTTCCCAACCATGGTCAGTAAATGTTACAGTAGGTACTCCTTATATGATGATTTGCAGGCTGCACGTATTTTATGCGCAAATGTGCAGTATCTAGTACTGTAGGTAAATGTGCCTACAATAAAAACTAGGCACTGCAAAATATTTGGTTTTTTCAAGATACTATTATCATAACATCCTAATCTTAGCAGTTCGTATAAGTAGAAAATCAAAGGAACAAATAATCGCTTTGTACGGTTCGTCTTTCATTCGTTCTTACTTGTCGAAAGAATACCTAGTTTCTGAGTTGAGCTTTTTTGCTTAAAATTCTAGAGCTACCAAATATCCCGCTTTTTCAAACCGAAAAAGCTTCGATGGTCACATACACCCATGAAATTGTTCTAAAATATTGACATATAATAAACAGAGTTTGGGCAAAAGAACCCCATGTAGCGCTTAATCGTAATTATGTAGCATTAACGAGCTAAATAGTTTTATATTATTATGATAATCTAAATTAAGATTTACTTACGATCTAAAATTCAAATTGTCGTAATAGTTTTAGGTGTTAGTATTTATATGTTGTCGTTGTCATAAATTTTTGAGTTCAGTCACGTAACCGGCTATTTTAAGGCTAACATATTGTTTTTGCTCGACCTACTTCGAAGATAGAGTTGCCCAATAAATCTGAAATCGTTCCACTATTACTCGTTCCCTTTATTTCTGCAGAAATGAGAAAATACCTTAAACTCCAAAAAAATATTAAATAAGTTAGTGAAGCTTACATTCGTGATAAATAAATCTTACTGTTCCTAATTAGTTATTAATCAAAATCTGACTAGCTTTTTACTTAAAATATAAATTTTATCGATTTATAACTAGGTAAGTATGAGGGCTAGGTCCATCCGGTAACTACGTTTGGAACAATTAATTGCCTTTCTGTAGTCTTGACATGTGCGCCATCAATATCATAGAGGGTTGATAGGGTTTCTATGCAATTTAAGGAGCCTTTGACTCAGGGTAAGGGTTCATTAAATTTCCTATTGGATTATATCTATATCAAACGAAGTAAGTGAATAATATATATGAAGTAGCACTGTGAGAGAGAGGTGACATTTACAAAATGTAAACGTAGATCTTAACATGTATTGAAATTGATTCACTTCAATTCCATTTATTGTTAAGAGAGTTTCACGAACTTATTATATAATGAACAAATCAAATGAAGCTTTGCAGAATCTTTATCTAGAGTTTTGTATAAAACTACTTTTTTAGGTATGGTATAACCATAACAGTTATAACCCTACATCAAGCTGATGGCACGCGCGGTTACACTTTGTAATAACGTCGTTGACACGTTTTCGTAATATATTACTCAATATAACGCGTACCAAATCAACTGAGCATATTTAAAAGCAAACCTGAAACTTCTTTAATTAACATCAAATACTATTTGTTTTCAGGAAAATATTTGATGATAAGTACTTGTATATGTGTGGCTTTCTCTGAGTTATGAACTGAAAAGAGTTGTTATTTATCAGTTTTTAAAATGTAGATAAAACAAATTAGTTAGTGATACATTAAAACGTAAACATGTCTGAACGATTCTGCAAAAATATGTTCGGTTAGAATCAAGGAGAGACTACAGAATTTGTTATGCGTGAGAAGGATCAGATTTTACGATGTGCATGATATCACGGAACTGAGGGACATTTCTCGTTTTGACGAAGTTTTTTGAGGCAATATTCCGGGTATTTTTTGCACGTATCGTAGAGCCGGGGTTGGTGTCTTGTGAAAATGACGGTCATTTATAACTCACTTTAGCGTCGAGCAAGTGGCGACGTAAACTAATAACTCTTTAAAAATGTGGACCTGGCCGAGTCATTATTAATACTGGACAAGGCAATTCATTCATGTCGAATGGCTTTTTATAACCCATCAATATTGTTCGCAGGACCTGCTTCCTCTTGAGATTCGACTAGAGATCACTGCAAGAGAAACTCTGCATGCGCTAAGGTAAGATTCAAGCTTATGTTATTATTCACGTCCGATTTGGAAACAGGATATTTATTGTTGAGTTAAATATTACAAACTGACAATATGAATATTTAAGACTCTTTGGTAATAGTTAAATTTCTATGTACATGATGTAACGATGTATACTTTATTATTGTTCGTTATAATTTATTTTTACTTCCAGGGCTACGCTGTTGCACACCCACTGGCACACCTTTACTTTACTTGCAGAAGAAGATATTTACTCAACATTATCGCTACGAAAAGATCTTTTTTCTATTCTTACAACTCAACCACTAAATCCTAAATGGCTTTCACTTCCTTCAAAATATACTCGCCATGCTCTATTCAGGTATTTACCATTTATAAGTTTCATTAACATTAATTTTATAATGTTTAATCAATAAGGATTTTTTTAATAAAACAGATATTTTGCAGGAGACTCGCTGAAGTTTCAAGACTAACTCGAGGTGTTGTTGTCTTGATTTGTGACATAAAATATGCAAAACTAGTTATGAAGGAAGCAAGCCGACTTAATATGCTTGATGGTCACTTCTTTTGGTTGTGGATTGATGCTTCGAAAGAGCTTGATGTCTTCCATACTGTCACTAACAAAACACAGAATACAGACGATGATAATTTCGAAATCTTCAATGATCAACAAGAGATGATGACACAAGATAGTTATGAACGTCGTAAGCGAGACGATGCAGACAATAATTTTAATGACAATGTACGGAGTCATATTGCTTCACCGTTGCTTGATACAATCCCCGAAGATGAGTCAATCAAGGAAGTTGACAGAAGTATAAATAATACTCGGTTAAATTCAGTTTTTCGTCGTGTAAGTCGAAATATAAATAAGTCCGAAGCGCACAGTGTTAATAACAAATTATTAAATAATAATTTTAGTCAAGAAATTGATAGTAGTCGCAATACTAGTCCAAAAAATTTAAGAAATTTTGTAAATAATAAAGGCGTTGAAACTTCTAAAGTCGAAAAAGAATCAATTGAGAAAAGGAAAATGTCCTTCCTATCTAGTAATAGTAATAGATACAGTAGTAATAAATTAAAGAATGAATCTTTTGATAAATATGTAAATAGCATAAATGTTGAAGGTACTGAGAGTTTAGAGAGTTCTCAATTGAGACGAGAATTGGTGTATAATAGCGAATATAGTAAAACATTAAAAGATAGCATATTATTTTCAAGTGATATTAGTGATTTCTTAATGAATCCCACGGTGCATATAGCTAAAGTGCATAGTGTTAGACAAACTAAATCAGATTATGACGATTATATTGATGAAATAATGGATGAAGGAGGTGATGAAAACGAAAATAATATAACTGTGATTATGGATAACCTGCCCATTGGCCTGTTGGCATTGCATCCTCAACCTATGAAAATCGGTAAGTTTAGTACACATGCAAACCCTTATCTAAATACCTTGTATTCTTGGCATAAAGCATTCCTACAGATCTGGTACAACAATCAATTAAAATGTTTAAATATTGTTTCACATTAAACAACAACTTTCAGATATTCGTAGAACTTTTTCAAATCTCATTTCAATCAGATCTGAATAAAATATGCTTTTTAACAGGAGGTAACAACAATTAAGTCCAAAGAAAAAATTACTAGAAAAGAAATCGTTTGATATAAAAATCTTGTAGTTTGATACTTAATATAATAGTTCTGATGGAGCAACGAATACAATTCATGTACTGTGGTGTAATTGACAGTAATTGATAATTTACTATCACACCAACCAACAAATTAACTGGCTAATTGACTATTCAGGAAAGTGTGTAAAAATCCTTCGAAAATATTCTTTATAATAAAATAATTCTAACTTAAATCAATAATAAGATGTTGTATTTATTAATTTGAATTGTCGCGCAGAAATATTCCGGTAATTTGACATTCTAAGTTGTGCATGACTTTATTTGATAAATCAATTATGTTCGCCCGCGTACCTGTTTTTGCAAGCAAAAAAGTGAAAATTTATATTCAAGATATAAAATATTTACAATTTATTCTAATCCAAAAAGTTAATTTATAAACTACCATAACATTAACCAGCATATTTCATTAATGTCACAAATACCATTTCAAATAGCCAATAATTGATGAATGACCACTTATAAATAAATATGGACGGATTATTTATTTTTATTTGATACCTACATTTTTTGTTGTAATTGGTTGTTAGAATTTCATATTCAGAATTTTTAGGGATCAAATCAAAAAACCAGATGATATGAAAATGATATGATACCGATATGATAGTTTGCTATTTGCACTTTATGATACTATGAAACTCCACTCCGCCTTATTCCAGAATGTGGACTTAAGTAAGTCTTGGTTTAAACCTAATGTTGTCTCTGTCTTCGTTTTTCCAAACAAAAGTGACAGCCTCATTTTCAGACTAGGTTTAACTTCAGACTAAGTTTTGTAATAATATGCTATATTGCGCATATCCCAACACACACTTGGCCAGTACTCAAGCAGTGTCTTGATTAAAATGTCTTTGCTCTAATGCTTTCCTTGATATTAAATCAAAATTGAGTTCGGGTAGTAACCTAGTTTGAAATTTTCATCTACAGATCGCGCATTCGTACGTGCGGCATTGAAAATGGCAGTCGCCGCACTCCGGAGAGTGTTGCGAGCATGTGACGCGTGGTCGGCTCAAGCGCAGTTTCTCAGCGACGCCACAGCATCTTGTTGGGATGAACCTAGTGACGCAGCTGCTGATTTTTCATCAGAATTCGTGAGGTATGCAGTATCATTCTACGTTAATATTATAAATCTGATGTATTTATTTTAGATGGTTGCGATCGTGGAAGTTAAGAAACTTTCGCACTGGTCCGTCGTAGTAGGGTTGACGAAAAATTTGCTATCTCAATACCTGTGCTTCGGAAGGTACTCTAAGCAGTTGGTCCCGGATGCATCTACAGTCGTTAGCGCCCGCGTGGTGGGTCATTTCCCAAACTCCATATTCCATTCAAAGTGATGCCTGTGCTGTGCCATAGCGGTGAGGACATTTATAGGCTGATATTGATGAAGAGTTTACTGGATTAAATTTGTTTTTTTTATAGTTAGGTGGGCAAATTACTCTACCCCACCTGATGTTAAGTGGTAATAAAGTCCAAACGCTAAGATAGCTGATACAGCAGCTGTAAACTGCTACATCAACCATCCTCACCTTGCCGGCCTGTAAAAATGCTTCTTCACGCCTCTCTTAAAGGTCCCCAGATTATAGGAAGGAGGGAACGTGTGCGCGGGTAAAGAATTCCACTTACGAATAGTACGACAATGAATCACCAAATTTCTTTGTTTGTGTAGGAATAGTGGCCATAGTAAGAAAAGGTGGAGGGATAAGGGAGAATAACTCCTCAGAACACTCGCCGTGGTATAGTCGATAGAATGCACTTAATGATGCCACATCGCAGCGTAATTGTAGAGACTTGAGTTTCTTAGTTACCTCTTCATCGCCAATGATGCGGGCAGTGCGTCGCTGCAACCTATCCAAGCCATCGAGTAAGTACTAAGCGGAGCCATCCCAGAGGTGCGAGCAATATTCCACGCAGGACCGCACTTGCGTTTTGTACAACAAGCACAGTTGATCGGGCGTGAAAAAACGCCGCACCTTGTTCAGGACTCCGAGTTTGCGTGAAGCTATTTTGATCAAGGTTTCGATGTAGTCCTTTGGATTCAGGTCTGAGCGAACTTCCATGCTGAGCATAGAAATGTTGCTCTGTAGCGCCAGTGTTGTGCCCTAAAGAGAGGGAAGGGTAAGGAATGGCGATGTTTTTGCCGTGAAAGCCTGAGTTTTCTTGGCATTGAGCTCAAGCAAGTTCCTGGTCCAAATGTGGTCCAAAACCTGATTAAGTTAAACGACAAGATTCTCCCGTTTCTATTTGGTTTCTACCTGTCCAGCCGCTGCGTGTAAAAAGTATCTCGCATGCACTGTACTATCGTCTGCATAGCAACGAATATTCGCAAGTGGAATCAAATCATTGAAATGCAGCAGAAAGAGTGTGGGGGATAGAACGGAGCCCTGAGGAACATCGGCATTCACTGACATGAACTGAACTACATCCGTCCGTAAGGACGCGAATTCTACGCTCATGCAGGAAGTCAGCTACCCCAGGCGCAGAGCTGAGCAGGCAGACCGTATGAAGAAAGCTTGGAGAGAAGGCTTTTGTGCCGGACCCTGTCAAAAGCCTTAGCGATGTCAAGGCTAATAGCCAGAGACTCTTCCCGATTGTCTATAGCTTTACCCCAGATGTGTGTCACGTACGCTAGAAGATCACACGTCGATCGATTCGGCCTAAATCCGTATTGAGGATCGTGAATCAGAGAATAATCTTCTAGGTAGTGGATCAGATGGTTGTTAAGGACCCTTTCTAAGACTTTACACAACACTGAGGTGACAGCTATCGGCCGATAGTTGGCCGGGTCTGAGCGGCCCCCTTTTTTGGGCACCGGTTGCACATTAGCATCTCTCCAAGCCTTCGGCACACGCCGCAAAGAGTAAGAGAGTTGGTACAAGCGCGTAAGCACGGGAGGCAACTCCGCTGCACAATGTTTTAGTACAACTGCTGGGATGCCATCGGGTCCACTGGCTTTCCGGACGTCGAGTGATTGCAATTCCGCACGAACATCACCCTGCCTGATTTTAATTTCAGGCATCGTAGTGCCACAATGAGGTAGTGTAGGTGGCTGTGCATTGCAATCACTGATTTGGGAGTTAGCCGCAAAGAGCTTTGCCAACAAATTGGCTTTCTCTTGCGGCTAATGAGCTAGTGACCCATCTGGACATCGCAGAGGTGGCAGCGAGGGCTGGCAGAAGTTGCGCTGCACGGCCTTAGCCAAACGCCAAAAACTACGGGAGCCAGTAGGGTGTGTTAACAATACGTGGCCAGTACGTGCTACACTTTGGACATCCGCTCTAATGTAAGCCTTCTTACAAGACTTGGAAGCACTATTATATGCAGCATTCAGTGAGATAATCCCGGGATCCTTAAGAGCGCGGCCTCTGATACAAGCGCGATATGCCGCCTGCTTACGAGAAACAGCATCAGCACATTTGCGATTGAACCAGCGGTTACGTGTGCCCTTACTGATGAGATCAGAATGTGGAATGTAATACTCCATTCCCATTACGATCTCCTCAGTAATAGCAACGGCGCTGACCGGTAGGTCCTTTTCACTGAAGCAGCGCTGCTACCCAGGGACGGACGCAAAGTAGTCACGTATACCATCCCAATCTGCTGACCCATAGTGCCAGACTCTGCGTTTGACCACCAATGATCGAGGGGTTTTGGCCTGAGGCACCTGGGCAGATATCAGGCAATGATCTGATGAACCCAGTGGTGCTCGAACCACAACCTGATATCCCTGCGGTTGAGTCGTAAGCAGAAGGTCTAGTAAAGAAGGCGCTTGACTTGCTATATCTGGGATCCTGGTGGGCTGATGGACCAGTTGTGTCAAGTCATGGGTGAGAGCGAATGCATGGGCAGCGATCCCTGCATGGTGAGTTTTGGAGCAGCCCAGCCATAAACCGTGGTGAGCGTTCCCCAATAACACTAGTTCTGCGTTGGGAAATTGCACCTGAACATCATCTGCTGCCCTACTAAGGTGGTCAAACAGTCGATTTGTCTCAGCGTCGCCGGTGTGGGATCTGTAGAGGTACACATAGACTTTGGCCAAAGGACCAGAGTCTACTTTTGCCGCCAAATGGAGAAGGAGGGGTCTATCAGGCAGCTCAAACAGCGAAAACAAACATCCGCCCGAACATACAGCATACGCCGGGTTTTCTTTGAAGGATTCTTCAAGCACGTAGCCGGGATAGTTAAAGTACTCGTAGCCTATGTCAGCGGGCGGAAGTATTTTTGTCTCCGTGACAAACAATAACGCTGGCCGTGATGTCACAAGATGGTGGTGGACAGCATTGAGGTTAGAGTGGAGTCCACGTATATTACAGAAAGCGACCTCAAACAGCGCGGAAGGCGTGGGGGTGTGCACCGCTGTACAACCAAATATTGTTTTACGTGCTGTCATCATGAGAAAAAATTGAGAGACGGGAATGGAGTGGAGTTAGTCGCGACAAAGTCAGGCAAATATGTGGAGGCACGTTTTCCCGAGTAACTGCCTAAGAAAGAGATACGCCGATTCACCGGATGGAAGGGCCCCCGTACCCCCCCGGGAGTGACCGCTGGGACCCCACGCCCTGGTCACCAACCGGCACGACGGTCCACCCCGAGATTATGCATGACATGATGGGGCAGCCTCGCGAACTGGTACGCTCGGGCCCCTGTACTGTTCCACGGGCAGCCAGCGGGACAGCCGTTTCTACGGGTCTCCCTGGCCGGTGGGTCGATGCAGTCTTCCCGGCATCGGTTCGACGGATACCTCCACTGGACCGAATCCGTCGCGGCAATCTCCACTCGAGCTCTGGTTGTACGCTGGCTGATCCCGAAACGCGCGTGAAGCACATCGCGGGTTTTTTCACCATGCGTACGGTGGTAACAAACCAGGCGGATGTTAGGCACCCTACCACCAGAAGAGCAGATAGAAGCTCTGATATCCCTCTGTCGCTTCTTACGACACTCGCGGGAAGTGAGAAGGTGAGTGATATTCTTTCTCCGTCACCGCACGGATTAAGTTTTTGTGTTGGATAGCTCATTTATATTTAAGCATCAATCACAAATGTTGCAAAACGGAAAATAATGTTCCTTTTGAGAGTTTCCGCTATAAGCGCGTACAGAAATCCCGATAAGTAAACTGAATAAATAGAATAAAACAATTAAAATATTTTATTTACTCCATTTATAGGCAAATAAATTCTTTAATTAATTTAAATTCAAACAGTGGTCAAACAAAATGGGTTAAACTGATTCGAATCAAAGCAACAATAATTTTGGCATCTGTCAAGATAGTTTTTGGAATGACAAGGATGTCATTACAGTGGATCCTCGTATTCAAAGCAATCGTCACTGTCAAATTAATAGATAAAATAATTACTTCACGCAGATTTTATCAGACAAAGATGTAAAGTTACTTAGGTAATGTTGTACTGTAATTTTGTTGTAAATTAAATTTTGTTAAGAATAAGGCATTAATTTTAACATACTACCCATGAACCATTGAATGGAATGAATATCAAGTTGCGATAAAACTCCTTGAAAATATATATGTTGGTACTCTTTTTTAAACGTATATACATAAATTTGTTTATTTAAATCCGAGCAGTGAGTGGATAAACTCAATTACAGTGATTCCAAAGAAAGCAATAATAATTTTGTCATCTGTTATGGTAATTTTTGGAATGACAATGATGTCTTTACGTGGGATACCTCGTGAAATTCAAATGAATTGATTTATCGTACCGTTTTACCCTATGCCTTTCACGTAAAGAAATCAAAGATGAACAACGGCCGTTTTTGTTCATAAGGGCAGCGATCGTGCATCAGGACTATGTTCACAAATTTCCTAGATTCATTGCTGAAGCTAAGGGTTTTGAATCACTGACCATGCCCTATTCGGCATAATATTATTCTTTGGGCTTTCATCTGCTTCAAAACCCGAAACATTTAGAAAACAGAAAATATATAAGCACTTTCGTCGATTTTCTAGATTTAACAGATAAAGCACTTTTTTGAAGACCAAAATTTCATAAGTGTCAGCTGACCGTTTTACCATGTGTCTATCCGCAGCTTAGTTCAGAAACGGTGCATAGTAGGTAATTAAGCATGAATATTTATATACAT